GAAAGAAAGAAAGAAAGAAAGAAAGAAAGAAAGAAAGAAAGAAAGAATTCTTCCTATTTATGACCTAAACATTTTTCTAACCATGCAACTTTTTTTAGGAAAAAAAACTATATAAAGTTATTTAACTTTCTTTAGTGATTGAAAAAAGGTCTTAAAATCCCTTAGAGGTTCTTTAGAAAAGGTTATGTTGATATCATGGATTTGGCAGAGCCAATTTCCAAATTTACTGAACATTGGCCTTCTAAAACAAAATCCCCTGCTATGCCCACCTGAAATAGAAATAGTAGTATTTGTGACTGTCATATTGCTAGGCAACAAATGGGCAGTGTTTCCTATTTGAATGGTGCCATGCTAGACAAACCCTGGATATTAAAAATCTTGGCAAATTATAAAAGACCTGCTACTGCTCCCAGTTAAATTCATTAAATTCTTATTAAATTCATTTAATAAGAATTTGTGCTTTTATACTTTTCTTTTTTCTTCATGTCCCTTGCACCCTTCCTCCTACTTTCTCATATTTTGCATTTAATATTTCAGGAGTGTTCTGAGTAAATTCTTCTGTTTGTAAACCATAAAGCTGAGCTATAACAGCCTTGGTGCTGTCATACTATCAGCTGGATCTAATCAGTCGTAGGGCCGGAAGTCCTGTTCTCTTCAAATACATTCAAGTTCATATCTGTACGGTCTTGCCTACAAAAATGTGTGAACAATTTTTTTCTCAATAATGATTTCAACATTGGGTTAAAATTGGGTTCTCTGCAAGTTATTAACTTTAGTCTCATTTGTGAACACTAATCCAGTAGTTTTATTTTAATCAGTTAAACAGACAACCTATAGGTTTCCCATATTATAATGAGAATCTATATTGTTACTGCCAACTGTATCATACATGTCAGTAAATTCCATTGTTTTGCTTGTCAGAAATAGTTTTTTTTTCTTTTTTCTGTATTCAACTGCTGCACTGATCGATACTTGATATCTCATGAATGATGACATTATGAGGGTGGGAGAAAAGTTTCTTTATTCGTTTCTCCATAATCACGCATAACTGATATCCAGACAATCATATCCCTTTTATTTGTCCTTTCCTTAAGCCTAAAAACAACCCATTACCATAATCTTTTTTCAAAAGCTCTTACTCTCTAAGAATTTTATCCATTTCTGACTCTTTTTTGGGGATGTGGAGAACAGAAAAGTAAAACAATATTTCTTCACGCCTACTAGCTTTTATACTTCACTCCTAAGGATTATCATGATGGAACTTTCCTTTTTTTTTTTTACAGCAACCAAGCCTTGGGTTATTAAACTCATTAAGCTATCCACCATAATTCCATGTCACTTTCCTGTTAAGTACCATCATCTCAGACCACGTGAGCATATACATAAAGTTAGATTGCTTTGCTGCGTTGTGCAGCATCTTACCCTGAAATTTGAATACCTCATTCTCCCAATTTGGAAAGATATTTTTTCAAGCTCTTTGTTTCCCCTTTTTATTATTTCAAATCAAACCTAAATTTGGCACTGGCCTTCTGACAGCAACGTAAATTGCATTAAAGTTCAAAGACATTACTGGAATAATAGTTATTGCATTCACTTGTAAAATTTCATGAGATGATACATTGGGAATATGGTTGATCCTGATTTTCTACAATTCACTTGATGTTTAACCTTTTTTGTTCTAAATTTAGGCTCTCGGTTGCACATGCTAAGCATTTGTATTGTGAGCCTCTGAGTAGCAATTTATTGCATAAACTTGGGTAATAAACACTCTACATTCAGGAATTCACAAAGTCTCAATACCATACAGGCTTTTTGCTAATCTTTTGTTGTTGTTTTCTTCTTTGCTTGCACTTAGGACTTTTCAGAACTAGAAAAGAGGGATCCCCAGGAGTTAGTTGGTAAGTACTATAAAAATATTGTTTTACCTCACCTTGTTTTTCTTGAACAATTAATGCTATCTGTATTTTCATACAATTTCGTTCTCACTATAAAATCAGGCAAGGTCAATGGATAGAGGTGAATGAAGAAAGGCTCCACAGCCTGGGCCTAACTTTTGCAAGATGGCCATGTACCATAATGGACTCCTTTTTCTTCCCTGGGACCTTTTTTCCGTCTATTCATGTTTTTTCTTCTTTGTTTGAGTCTGCTCAAGTACATGCTTATTCATAACTCTTCACAACCAGCTACTTTTCGTCCTTTGTATAAGAATTATACCGCTGGCAGCTATAATTCTCATTTTTCTTATGCAATCATTTCTTTTTCATGCTTGTTTCTTTCCCATTCATCCCAATTATTCCTTATTTCCCTCAAATGGCTACAGAAGGCAATAGTTATCTTGCCCATCTACTATAGCAAGGTGGTTGGGTTTTTGTTTGTTTGTTTTTTGCTCAAAGACTATAGGTGAACTACAAAAGAACTACCATTCTACCCGCTTTATTTATTTTCTGTTTAATTATTAAATGAACCCATTTTATATCCTTAAATGACACTGAGGAGATAGCTGGGAAAAGTTGCTTGAGGAAAAAAGAAAGAAATCCAAATCTCTTCAGTGGCTACTTGCTCCCACAGATTAATATTTTCTTTCTATAAATGAATTTATGCTTCTTCTTGATGCAGGAATCAAAGACCCAAACAAGTTATCTATAATTTAGGAAGAATAATAGGTACAACACTGAGATTTTATTAGCGCTTATAAAAATTTCCCCCAGTGTTATTAAAGTGATATACAAGAGTTGGGAAAAGAATATTATCAAGAATTAATATTAAAATACGTTGGTTTCATTGTGTATCCCTGAATCCACAAATAAGCTGACTGTATTTCTGTTGCAAAATGTATGATTGATTGGCACATTGATGCTCCTGATATGTCTGTTTTGCTGCTATCAGAAAGTAAGAAAACCTGCTCTGCTTTGCATGAGATCAAAACAGTTTTGGACTGAGGAGAATGCCAGTTTAAAATCCATTGCTCCCTTTTGTTTCTGCAAAGATTTTTGTGCACATGGAATACTTAGGTGCAACAGCCAGGCATAAAGTAGGCAATTCCATTTTATGAAAGACTGGCTGACCCCTGCTTTTTTACCACTTATTCCTTCATTAATATTGCTTATTAAAAATGTATGTATAAGCATAATTTTGCAATATAGTTAAAGCAGAGGACCATTTCAACATGAGAGATATGCACAATAGTCTCGTATTTTCTCTTTTAGCTTGAGCATGTTTCCTTCGAAAATTAAATGTTTAGGCTTTTGTTCTACTCTGGCTTCTTATGATAGTACTACAGTTAGGTTTCGCGGTTGTTGTTTTTTGTGCAGATACCCATGCTGCTCGAGGCAGCTTACATGATGATTTCTATTTATTTTACACCTTACAAAGCGATCCTGTAAGATAGATTGCTCTGAGGGAAGATGGGCATCCCAAAGCTATCCAGTGAAGTCTGTGGCTAACCCGGAATCTTCAGCCTATATGGTACCAGTCCAGTCCAACCCCACTTAATCAACACTATAAAGAACTAGGTTTTTTCCCCTCCCTTAATAATACTTCCAACCATATACATATATACGCCTACACTTTAATATACATATATGAACTGAACTGCTGGCAGTGGTGCCCAAATTAAATGCCATCTTCCAAACACCAGAGTCATTGAGAAATGACAATGATGGGAGATTAGAGCCCCAACACATTAGACTGTAGCATGGTCAGTGGCTCGATGAAAATATATAAAAGGAAAAGGGATTTCAGAACTGCCATATAAATTGGGGGGAGGGGAAGGCAGAAATAGATAGGAGTGGGCCATAGCAGAGCATGAATGCATCAGTTTTCATAAGCTGAACACAAAACAGTTGAAAATGATCAATGGCCCTGGAATAAAGAGAAAAAAATGGAAGTTTTAACAAGTTGCCGGAGGGGAAAAATAGTAGATCGAGTGTTAATTGAACAGGCATTTGATTTGGGCAATGAATATGTGGTTTGACTTATGAGTGATCTTGGAGAAATAACTTTGAAATCATTTATCTGAAGTTAATTTGCAGAAGGCTAATTGGCCTGCTTTCTCTTGAACTTGGGCAGCTCCCACTCCATGGAGCAAAAGGCAAGTTTAAGTCTCATTGTATGCCTTCTGTAAAGTGTGAACTATATTTCTATAATATATAGCCATAATGATTTACAGTATCTTTTTAGGAATCGTTTTATGATTGACTGCACCTAGATTGCCCGTGTCTTAGTTTGCAGCCATGTTATGCTAGCATGTTTAAACCATTCATAAAATGGTTGGGAAGTTTTGAGATAGAAGTGAAAACACACCCTGTTCTTCTGTGCTCTGTAAAGATAAGATGCAAGCAATAGGATCACACTTTAGAGCACAGATCTGGATAATGTTGATGCCTTTTCTGCAACTCATGTTGCAGAATTTCTGGTACTCTTCTATAGGGATGACCTGCAAAAATAATCAACCTTATTTTGCTTTAGGAAATTATTAAAAATAGAACTATTCTCAGTGTCGCTGTGTACATTACTGCAAATCTACTGATTGTTTCTATGATTTTTATTGAACGGCTTTAGTTTCCTTATGATTACTTACTGGGGGGGGTGTAATTGTGTTGTTGATGTTTTGTTACTGCTGTAATTGTAACATCTGTCAGTTCTTTGGTTGAAATAAATAACTAGTAGGTTGCTACACAGAAAGGCTTTTTCTCTGAGAAAACAGTTGATTCCAAATGGTTGCTATAAACCTTATTTATTGTATTCATCCATCCATAGAGGGAAAGCTTGAAAACGAATGAAGAACTCAGTTTTCAGAAAATGCTGTAAAGGCATAATGTAATTTCCCTGTGAGGCACAAGGAAAGGTCTGTAATTGATTTGATGAGAAACTGCACCTTATTAGCGGGTGGCAGAAGTATAGGTAGTACTCGACTTATTACTATTCATTTTAGTGTCTGTTCTAAGTTAAAATGGCACAGGAAAAAAATGACTTAAGACCAGCTTTTACACTTACGACCACTGCAGCATCTCCACGGTCACATGATCAAACTTTGAAAGCTTAGCAACTGGTTCGTATTTATGACCGTTGCTGCGTCCCAAGGTCATGTGATCCCCTTTTGCAACCTTCTGACAAGCAAAGTCAATGGGGAAGCCAGATTCACTTAACAACCGTGTCACTGACTTAACAACTACAGGGATTCACTTAACATCCATGGCAATGAAAGTCGTAAAACGGGTCAGCACAACTGCCTCTCTCCGAAACAGAAATCTTGGACTCTGTGGTGGTCATATATTGAGGACTACTTGTACCAATAAGATGATGAAGGCTTTTGGTTTGGAGAAATGCAGGATGATACAGCTCTGTAGAGTCCCTTTAAGAGCAGGGGAGGTTTTGTGTCTTTGAATCAGACTGGACTCCTGGCTACTGCCTGGGCAAGGTCCTGTAGTTTTCTTAGCAAGGTCTTGGCAAGATTTATCATGGCCTGCTTCCTAGGGCTGAGAGTGACTGGCCAAAGTCACCTGGCTGGTTTTGGGCTTAGACGCGGCTAAAATCCATGCTCTCCCAGCTTCTAGCCTGGTGCTTTGACCCCTAGAAAAGATTCTCTCATGTCAGGTGGTTAGGTAGCATATCTCTGCAGTGTCAGCATATTTCTTATACTGCTGATGTTGGATTATTTAATGGTACATTTCTAACTCCAGTCAAGTCCCAGCTTATTAAAGTGGCTTGCATTGCCTTAGTCAAACCTTTTGTCAAAACCATAGCTGCAAGGTATAGATAATTATTTATTTTGCAAATATGCTTGTTGCCCTCATAGAGATGAGTCACGTCTAGAGTCAACATCCTGGATTCCCAGCACAGTAGACTGGAAAGCAGCAAGGGTACCACACCCTGGCAGGGGTTGCAACCAGTGTCACTCATTGGGCTTCGACAAAAATAAAATTTCATCTTTGCCAAAATCCCATACATGTAGAATACATAAATGTCTACCGTTGCATCCTGGCATTGTGCTCCTTTTCAAAGGAAAGATACTGGAGTGAAAATACCAGATGTAATTACCCTTTGTTTTCTTCTTTCTATATACTGTAATAATCTTAGGCTTAGGCATCCAGTTGATTGAAATACCCATGCTCTCCCTACAGATGCTTTCCCTACCCCACTAATTTCTTTTTAATACATATTACAACCTTTTTCTCTCTGGGATTGTCTTTCTCTTAAAGGACTAGTATAATATGTTACCTAGTGTGCTAAATTGATACAGAAAAACCCAGCATCGATTTACCCACTGGGCCAAGGAACACCTAGGGTGACTTGAGGCACCCATTAATAAATGAGCATAGAATACACCATAATCGAGAATTACTATCTGCTGTTTAGTATTTGCTATTTGATTGTTAAGTCGTAGGCTATTTCTGTGTGATTTCTCTGAACATGCCTTCATTTTTTTATGTAAAATGGTAGTAAGGAGAATTTTTAGATGAATTGAAAGCTTGTGGCACACAGTAAATATACACTTAAGTTCTCCATTCTCCATTGATTTCAGAATGTAAGTAATACATTCAGGAAAATCCCTTATGGAATTTTTTTTAAAAAATCCTTATCTTGTCCCAGGTATTGGACTCTTCTCTAATCTCCAATATCAAGAAACATCATTTGTGTTTTGCTTTTTGCCTCACGGCCCCTATTGAAGCGCACTTCTTAATTAAAAACAATCACCAGACTCTCACAACAGTAGCTGTAATCTGCAGCTTGTTGTCAGTAGGTTCTGGAACCAGTTTGCGTTTCTCTGGAGATGTTGGCAAGATTTCTTTTCTCATAAAAACACATTCTCTGGAAATGTCAAAGAACATTTCTTTGTCACTTGTGACTGCTGGAGAATTCAACCCTGCATACCATCCTAAAAGAAACTATAATTGAGGAATTGTTCCAATTATAGCATCTTCAACAAATTTCCAAAGCTTGTTAGTAGAACAGAAATTCAGATGCATGTATGACCTATATATCACAATGGAGGCCTGGCTGAGAGTCACTATAAGTAAGCTACATACAGAATTGTGGCTTTACCTTTACTTAGGTTTTTTTTTTTTTCCATAGACAACAGATAAAGGTAATAAAGATGCAATCTACCAGGAGGTTCGGCAGTTAGTACTATTAAAATGGTAAAAGCGTATGAAAAGAGGTTTTGTTCTTTTCTGTGAACTGCCCCACCCTATCATGTTCTTTATAGTAACAATTGAAAATTGAGCAAAAACATTTTGTTCACAAATGAACTTTTCAGACTAGAGACAGAGCCTCATGCCGAGGGGAGAACTGGAGTGCAGTACACAATGTTGCCTTGGAATAATACACTTAGAAAAGCAGCCATTTTTCTGTTGCCCATAGTCTATACACAATCCTCCTGAATATTTATCAGATTATGCCTTTTGCAATGTGTTTTAAACGAGGAATATCAACAGACATCTTGTAGCACGTTGGGGCTCTCACATTTTAGTCCAACAATCATACCCTTGATTAACAAATGACTTAGGGAAAATACACAAACAGGTTGCCTATATATGGGAAAACTTCTGAATTGACCATCTGTCATACTGAAGACCGTTTAATTTATGTATTCATAAAACAAATTTAATGAATTGGATGACTGCAGGCAGCTTGCAAAATTATAGGTGATGAAATGTAAACGTTGGCTATATAACACCACCAGTAGTCCTGATCCCTAAAATATTCAATTAGTATGAACCGCAGCTTCTACTAACTCTAGCCAAAGTGTCCAATAAGAAGTGGAGATGGGGAAAATTATAGTTATACAGTTATATAGTTATATACAGAGAGAAGTGTATTGTATGGGTGCTTATTTATCAATTAAATTACTTTCCAGATTTTAGGAACTGCTTGTTTGGATTATATATTGTTAATATCACAATGCAACTTTTACGAATAAACTTAATTTGCTATAACTTCTAATTCTGATGGCCTCTTTCTTTCCAGCTTCCTTCTCTGAGCGGGTAAGAAACATGTCACCTGATGAGATCAAAATCCCCCAAGAACCACAAGGCAGATGTTCCAACCACTTACAGGTAAGATTTTCCTTGAATTTTTTTTTTCTTTTTTCTAATCACTAAGGTCTTCTGTATTTAATCACCATCTTAATCTGAGATTCTGCAAAAAGTATCTGTTTCAGGAGTCTTATACAAAGGTCTAACCCTGCACATTTTCTTTCATATTCACTCCTGTTATAATAGCTTTATAATTGTAAAGAGATCCTGTCTGTCAGATGCTATTAAGCCAAATGATGCTGTTATTTGTCACTTGACACTCACGTATTCATCCTGGTTTGTTTGTTTTTTTAACACAAAGTGGGCTGAAATCATGAACAATATCTAAAACGACAGCTTATTGGTATGGGACTCTGAAGAACACTCTTTGAAGAGGGAAGAATGTATTTGTGTATCAAGATATCTATTGTTTTTTTCCTTTCAAGAGAAGCTATTGCACACTGAACTCTTAAGAGGCCTTTCATATATACTAAGGAAGTGTTTGTACTTTCAGACATGCTACACTCTAGATATAAATTTTTATAGCCTAACCATGCATGTTCTTAGTTTATTAACCAAAATTCCTGTTAATGTGTGACCATGCATAATTGTAATTATAGCTACTGTTTAATGTTTTAAGTTCAAATATTTGTACAAGAGCAGTCTAGTTCACACGCAACAGATTATGAATATTATACTGTTGCAGTGTAATTAAAATGGGGTTGGGGAATCTGTGGCTCTTCAGACATTTTTTAACACAAACCCAAAGTTGCACTAGCTAATATAGCTAATAATGAGAAGATGCTAAGAACTTTAGTTCTTCTTGAGAACCATTGACCTTGTCTTCTGAGAATACCTGGATTTTAATTAAAAACATCTGGAATGTACTAAGTTCTAGATCCCCCATCCCTTGCTTTTGGGGGGGGGGGGAGTGTCAATTTACCTTCTCTTTCAATACTATATACCTGACTATTGCCATTCGTTTGCTTATATTCCTATAATTTTTCGTTAGGACAAAATACAGAAGCTATATGAAAGGAAAATGAAGGAAGGTATGGACATGAACCTGATAATTCAAAGGAAAAAAGAGTTCCGAAATCCCAGGTAAGTAGTAGTCTGGGAGC